CCTTCAATGAAATGCATAATAGACTTGTTCTTTCTAATATGATCTGTGTAACGTGTTGTTCGCATGCTGATGGACACCAACTGTATCAACATGTGACGACCCAGTCAGGTCATCTTTGTGCTTGTAAACACAACAAAATCAAACTTGTTAGAGAAAAAGGAAAGAACGCCTGGAAGCAAACATTAAGAATGATTACAAAGCTTAATAAATGAAAGAGATGTTTGTTTGTTTTTACATATAATAGGTACATTTAGATGTTTTAGCTCCTTTTTGTGACCGCTTCATGAATGCCATCATACTGTGTTTAGCTGCAGTCAGTTTTAAACCAACATTCACACAAAAGGACAGACTCATAAACAAGCTGTGTTCTGTTTATGGCACATTATAGTTTTCAGTTTCTGCATGAGATTCAGAGTCGTTTTTGTTTTTGTGTGTGTGCTTTTGTGTACACAATTTTGTTCCACCTCATGTAACACATGTGGTGAGAATGACAATAAAGAAACCTTGACCTTGATCTTGACTTTTTGCTTTTTAGGCTGAAGTAAACGTGACGACAAAGTACACGGTTCAGATCCCGCCCTCGGCTCTTCATAAAAGCAGATGGAATGAATCTGAGAAGGAAGTCCTGCTGGTGGTCTCGGTGATCAGCAGCACATTTTTCAAGGTTCATGCTTTTAACATGCAATTAACCCAAAAAATTAGACTTTCACTTTTAATCAGTTGTTTTTTTCATTGACACATCGCAGTCCTTTTAATCCTTTTTAGCACTGGTTTTCATATTTGCTTTCATATTATTTCATATTTACTTTTGTTGAAATATTTAAAAACTCTGTGTCACTGTACAGCAGCAGACTCCTCGTCCAAGAAAAGGAAGAGGTGTATTTCCCCTGCAGCCAGTCCTACAGGGAGAGGTTCTAGGACAGGAAGTCCTGTTTGTGAGGGCAGGATCCAGACCAGTCAAAAACCTCACTCATCTCATCACGTTAAGGTTCAGGCATAAAGAAATTAAAACAAATTCAAAGGTAAAGCAACAACAAACAAAAACATAAAGACAAATGTAAAAAAAAAAAAAAACCATAAAACTATGCTTTTTTCTAAATGTTCTAACTCCACTTTCTGATCCCTTTTATTTTTTTCAGGCATTGAGTGTAACTTGTGTGTTTTGGAATGACTCGGTGCCTCTGAATGAACCAGGTAGATTACACATGCAGCCATTGTAGTACTCCTAAATAAGAATGTAGACATAGATTGGCACATTGTTGTGTGTGTTTTTAGGTCGCTGGAGCACGTATGGCTGTAGTACAAGGAGAAATGGAGAGGAGATTATTTGCAGCTGCAATCATCTCAGTTTCTTTGCTGTTCTTGTGGTAATTTGTTTCCCTATCACATATTTCCAAAACTGTGATTATCCATTAAAAATAACTCACCCAAGTGGGACCATTGCAAAGCAGGTACTGTAGTTGTAGAAACATTTCACATTAAGCAGCTTGGATCTAAATGTTGCATGACATCACATTTTTACAACTATTTCACAGCCATAAAATAATAAAGATGGATTTATCTGCTGTATTACATATAGTACATGTCAGAGTTGAGAAACTATGACAGAATAAGACTACTTCTTTTTTCACATTGTGATTGTCACAGTTTCCTCTTTTCCAAGCAACTTATCTTCCCTGGTTTGATCAACCTTTAAATGCAGTTTTGCAATAGAATGGCTCAACAAGTCACGCGTTATTGCTGCTTCAAGATGACCTTATGGATAATGGGCGCCCTTCACTATAAACTTAGTGATTAAAAAAATCCACATTAGTAACAAAATAAAGTCTCATGAAGACGCTGCCATCAAAGCACTTAATGTAAAATCATCTCTGCTGTACTTTATTGTTTTGTTTTAGAACCCAAACACAGAGGTGGATGAAAATGACAAGGACAACCTGAGCTACAGCACCTATGTTGGATCAGGACTCTCTGTCCTGTTTGCATTCATCAGCTTGTTCATCTATTTTGGTCGGCAGTAAGTTGGTTTATTTATGTACATCAAAAAGCACAAGCAACACCTTGTAAAGAGTTGAAGATGCAGA